ACAAGTATGCTCGGTTATTTTGGAACCGATTTAAACGTATAAATATTTTGAACGATCGAAAATCTTTATTCAGAAAATAATATTTGTTAATAAAACATGAACCAATATAATTTCAGTTAATAAGCAACAATCTAAATTTGTCAAATGAAATTTCGAAAACTCTCCAAGATTTACAAGTTTAACCATTTCATATTTTTATATTAATTAGAGACTTAATAAAGGGAAATCATTACTAAATTAAGTCACAATAACAGTTATCTGTTAATTATATTTTTTGCGACAAAGGAATAGACTATCAACCTCATAGTTTCACAAGAAAATCAAAAATTACTCCTTTATTTTAGATAATCTCCTAGGAGAAAGTAGTTGTTATAAAATATTTTAAGAACATGATTTGATAAAATTTCACGAATAGTTCTATTTTTCAGCCGTCTCTGATGAATTGCATGAAATATGTAAGTATTTTGATAAGCATAAATTTCTTTTTGACATCTTATTCATTTAAATCAACTCCAAAACATAGATTCGAAAATGTAAACTTCGACGAAAATATCATCACAAATTTCAGTTCTATTTGAAATTGTTAAATCTTCTTATCAGAAGATATATGAACTTTTATATTATTATTATTGAAGATTCTACGTACGGTTTTATTATTTTAGGATTTTACAATACTGTCACAAAATGTATTGCCATAAATTTATTGATTTTTGAGAAGAAAATTAACTTAAATTTTAATCATTTAATAAAAAATGACTTAGGCATTTAATACTACTTATTTTCTCCATTCTTTTATGAACAAGAATCAAAAAAAAAATAAAAATAAAAATAAAAATTGAATTTTGTCACTCTCTTTATTATATAGAGAAGATAAATTCAAAACCAGTCTATAGAAAATAGCTTAACATTGTGAATTTGTTAATAACCTCTGAAAATTATATTTTACTATGGAACGAATCATATCACTATAACTTGTATTAGATATATTAACAGTAGAAATTATTTAACTTAAAAATAGAAACACTAAAAAGATATAACTTAAGAAGTTCAGGACCCCTGAAACCTCACAAAACTGAAATCAGATCTTATATATAACTAAAACTCCCAAATTTTATTAATAAAAATTATATGGTGCATTTTATAGAGCTAATAATGATTAAAATTAATTAAACTTGACAAAAAAATCTCAATGACATTTGAATAATATTATTTATACAATGTAAAATTACCACCAAACAAACAATTTTATTGTGTATTAATATAGAAAATGAAAATGAAGTCACGAGGATAGATTATGAAATCACCGCTAATGGTGATAATTTTAAAGATTATCTAAGTAGAAATTCATGAATATATTATTAAAATTTAAAAAAGCTCTGTCAGAATATAATTCATTAAAAGAAATTGAGCGATTAATATTTTTGTCGAAATAGCCGAAATTTAATTCATTAAAAGGAATTGGGTAGTTAATATTATTTTCAAAATTCGTAGAAGTGTCAAAATTTAATTCATTAAAAGGAATTGAAAGGTTAATATTATTTTCGTCAAAATACTTAGAAGTGTCAAAATTTAATTCATTAAAAGGAATTGGGGGTTTAATATTATTTTTATTGATAATTGATATATCAGGAGATTCTTTAGGATAAGTAAATGAAAGAGTCGACGGAGTCTTTGCATTAATCTTCAATGAATTTTTACTAATGGCCTTTATATGTTTTTTGCATTTTTTTAATAGTTTATATACATAATTGGGATACTTTTTCATATAATCAAGCTTTTTACTGTCAGCAAGTTTCTTATAATAAAGTATTGTTTCATGGTTTTCATCTTTCCACATTTTAGAGATAACCTTTGATATTTGTGCATTTGTTAGATTTTTATTTTGTGCCTTGATGCCAATTTGTTTTCTCCTTCTATATAGAATAAAAGCATTTGGAGGTCTTGGAACTTTGTTTGATCATTTGCTGACTTTGATAGTTTTATTCATTTCATTAAACGGATTAAGCATAAACACGTGACAAAATTCTTTCATATGATCATTCATTTCGTTCAATAAATTAAATTTTTTAAAAATTGAGTTTAATTAGGTCTTATATATTTAATTTTTCTAAAAATCAATGTTTAGATAATTATTGGTTTTTAAAATAAATTAATTTGCAAGTCATCTTTCTAAAAACAAAGAAATTTATATTTTTTATAAAAACCAATAATTCTGAGTTAGGTTTGTTTTCAAAATTTTCATTGAAGTTATGTAACTAGCATTAATAAAAATTTCACTACTGTCCAGGTCTTATTTGAGAACTCTTTACAAATTGAATTATATCAGGTACTATTTACCCATCAAATAGTTAAATTGAAAGAGAACTAGATGCTTAATCTAGATTTAATTATATTACATCGAATCACAGCTTTTTTTTTTTAAGAATTAATTGAATAACGACAAATGTTCATAGAGTATTTACCAATTTAATTATTAATAAATGAGATCAAATTTAATCGCACAAAATTGTTTATTGAAGAATTTGTCATATGGTAACCAGAAAATTTATTATGGAATCATGGATTTTTTTAACTTATGTGAATTAATTATTAGTAAGTGAATTATGGTTTCATATCGGTTAGAATTATGGAATAAACAAAATGTTCTGTTAACAAAATAATAAATTAGCATAAAACTGTAATATTTTGATGTTGACTTAATAAGACAATGGCTAATAATGGTTTTAATATTGATTTTACAAAAGAAATTCAAGAACTTGAACAACAATTTAATTTAAATACTTTCCTTCCTTTGGATAAATTAATTGCCTGTAGTAGTCGAAAACGTAAGCACCTACCCAGGGCTCAAAATACATTTTTACTTTTTTGGAAAGATTTAAATGCTTTCTTGCGTTCTTCAAATATAAAAATTGGTGATATTTCCAACCTCACCAGTAAAATATGGAAAAATGAAAATTTTACTTATCAGTTATGGAAAGAAATTATTATTGATGAAATAAACCCATTTTACAAAAAACTTTCAAAAATCGCAAAGATGGTTCATAAGTGTTCTTTCCCAGATTACAAATTCAGTCCAAACTGTAAAAATAAACATTTACGAAATATCAAATTTCAATCTTACCAACCCTTCTACTACATTTATAATCCAACCCGAATTAATTTTCATTCTAATTACAATGACTACTCTAATAAACCAAACCCATTTAATATCCATTCCGCTTACAATATTTATAATCCAAAGCCAATTAATTTTCAATCTGTAAATTACAATTACAATTACTACTATAATAAGCCAAACCCATTTGATATTAATTTAAAAACATTTACAGAAAATAATTTTCAAACTGTTATTAAGACTTTTAAGATTTCTGTAAATCAGTATGTTAAAATTTAATTTTTCGTATCTGAAAAACTCCATTCATTTAATGTATCATATCTGAAATAACTTTGTTCAATTTAATATTTCACATTTAATAAAGTTTAAGAAATAACACATTTCTACATTAATTTTTGAAAGTTTGGAACTCAATTAATTTAATTGTCTATTTATTATTTAAAGAAGTACTATTATTATTTTTAATAGATTTCTTCACTCGGATATTGTTTAGAAACCAATTAACTAACGAACTAATGTTAATGTTCAATTTAAATTTTTTACATTTTAACTAAATTATTATACTATTTAATGTGTTATTGCTGTTAGTTTTGTTAGTTTCTATATTCATTTTGTTTTTTGTAGCAACTTCAAAAAGGTTAATTTAGGCTGAAATCATCTAGTAGAATTGAATAATTAACGACAACGGTATTAATTTGGAAAAGCAAGTTTACGACATAAATTAATGATACTAAGAAGCGAAAATAATTAATGCGTGAGTAGAGTTAATAATTATTAATTTAAACATATCTAACGTATATTCTTTTCTAATTTCGTGCTTTATTCAATTGTTCTATTTATTTTTCCTAATTATGTACAATTTAGTATTCCTCTATTCTTTTTGCTCTATTCAATTGTTATATTTATTTTTATAATTCTATACAATTTGAATTTATTCTGGTTCAAAAAGTATATTCTTTTTGCTCTATTCTATTGCTCTACTGAGCTATGTATTAATGTCTTAGGACATTTTAGTGTAAAGAATTTTTAAAATATGTAAAAGTGAAGTTAGTTATAAGTAATAAAAATGGATGAAAATTTTATGTAGTTTAATTGATTTTTTTACAATAAGCGTCTAATTATGATACAGTAGGTATAGATTTTAGATCTCATATTACTTCAGTATAATAAATGAAATAGGTTAAGATAACATATACTGTATTAAAGAAAATATGTTTGATCCTTTTCATTT